GGGGACTGGATGCACAGAACAACATTCAACATCAAACAAACTAGTCTGTGGTGGAGTGATTCATTTCAATAGAATGAGCGTCAGTAAAAATATCAAACACAGACTAAAAAGGAGACTAGGAAAGGGGTAGTCTGTACAACAAAAGAATGAACGGCACAAGGCAGAAAGTCAGTTTGTGCATGAAGTGAACTAACGCATGGCAGAAACCAAGCTCAGGTGCACAGGCCACTACTCCTGAAGTCTGTGAAACTGCTATCTGGTTTTTCCACCTTCATAATTAACTTGTTTACCAGCTTTCCTTAATGAGCCTCTCCCTCTCTCTCTCCCCCTCCCCTTCCCTCAGAAGCCATTCTCTAACATTTGGACCTTGGTCAACACTGGCAAATAATTTTGTTTTTATCTATAAGCCATTAAACATAGGAACAAATAGGAAAAAAGAAGCAGGTGACTCAGATGTGCCATAGCTCAGCTGAATAACTATACAAAATTGACCAGTTACTTCCATCCTGGATCTCCATGAGAGAAGTTTTAATTTGCCTGAGTGATTTCTGGCCTGCTTTTGGAAAATGTCCAATTAAGACAGATTGCCTTTCGAACAGACCCAGAAGGTGCTGAATTGCACACTGTTTCCCATCTGGCTGGAGAAACTGCTCAGGTGGACATAGTAGGAAGCTTCCTTGGTAGTGTCTGGCCAACTGGACTCATCCCAAATACCTCACCCACCGGAAACCCAGACACAATCAATAGACAAGTAAGTCTACATAGGGTGATAGGAAGCCCCCAAAAAGCCCTACCACAATCAATTTGTCAAACAGTTCACTAAGGTGTGTTTCTATTGGCTCTTTATAACATTTATAGCAATTGATGTGACATCAAACATTTTTATCAGCTTATGACATTTGTCTTAGAGCTTCACTTTGACTGTGGCTTTGCTGTAACCATGTTCCAGCAGCCCTCCTGATACCATTCTGCCATATATTTTGGAGCCAGAAGGAGAGCCAGCCATACCCAGGATGGCAAAGACTAATTTCTCTACATTCTTGGAGATAGAAAGGTCTCTGTTTTCAAGGTGTCCCAGGATTCCAAAGGCCTGGATTACTGAAACTATCCCACGTTCTTGCTTTCAACCAACACATGTCTAAATGTACATTTCTGGTATGTTCATTGACCTGGGTGAATTCTTATAATATCTTACAAATGAAACTTTTGGAAGGAGCTTCCAGAAAAAGAGAAATAAATAGCTAGTGAAGTGACAAGGACTTGTGAGGGAGTCACTTGTGTCACCCTAAAACTGTGGCTCACTGGAAGCATTCTCCCCAAGGAGAGCTCTGAGATAAGAGCTCGTGTGCAGTGCTGCAAGGGTACACTGTGATTTGTCCTGCCATTAGGTTGGGATTCGTATGCCCTCAACCAATGTTTCCTTCCAGGGGGATTATACTGCTTAAATAAAAAGCAGAAACACAAGATCAGTGACGTGAAAGGAAGAGATTTGATGAGATTTAAGAATTATAAATGTGCAGGGCAAATGAACATGCAGGTGTGTTTTAGACAAATGTCATCAGAAATTCAATTCCTAAAGTTACCACCATTTCGCTGTCAGAATGGCATCTGTACTATAACTAATCCCAAAACTAAAGGTGATGTTTATCTACAAAAAGATAGACAATGCTTTATCCCCTGATGAACAACACTAGGTAGGATAATTGTTACTGATTTCACCAAAGTATGAATGTAAAAGGATAAACAAATGAAATATACACAGTGAGAAAACAACAATTTAAATGTTACAAAGAAGCTAGGTGTGGTGGCCAGCACCTGTAGTATGATCACTCAGGAAGCTGAAGCAGAAGGATCACTTTTAGGATTAGAAAAGAAAGGAAAGAGAAGAAAATTACAGAAAGCAGAAAGTCTACTGAATGCTATACAGATTCTGTTACGGTTTATATCTGGATGTTCCCCCAAAGTCTCATGTGCTCAGAGGTGATAGCTTGTGGAAGGTGATTGGATTATGGGGCTCTATAGCTGGCTTGCTGTTGGGAGGCAGGACCTGGTCAGAAGGGGAGTCTCTGAGGACCTGATCTGGAAGGGCCTATCTCACTCCCCGGCTCCTCCCTTTAGGCACTCTGCTTCCTGACTACCATCATGTGAGCGGCTTTCTCGCCACCACACTTCTCTGCCGTGCCACCCTGCCTTGGAGCCAGCAGACCATGGACTGCACCATGAGCCCATACAAACCTCTCCTTCAAGGTGTGGGTATCAGGTATTGTGTCTCAGCGATGAGGAAAGTGGCTAAGACAGATCCAGTGAAACAGTATAAGGGATTCAAAGTCTACTGAGGAAGAAAAACAAAAGAAGTCAGAAACAGTCAGAAGCAACAAAGAAGACTGGGTGAGGAAAAAAATCATCGCTGATTTTAAAGCAGAGAGATATGCATCTCATCATTTTTGTACCACTAATAAAAATAAATCTGAAGTGAAATGCTAGCCCAGCATATTACTTCAACTTTGCTGACAACACAGATGATGAAGCCAGTAAGACCTAAATGTAATTATTGTAAGATCTCGAACAGTCATAGCTAAGCTAAACTCAAAGCAAAAATGATGTGTTTGGAGACAGGAAATTAGTATTAAAAGGCAAGACACTGGCAATACAAATTAAAGCAGGGATTTTGAGAAGTTTTTTTTTATCCATAGTTAACTTGATATTAGCTGTCAAAAATTAAGTGACAGAGTTGAGTGGATCATCAAGAAAAAATGGGTTATAAATCAGAAGGCAAAGGGTCACTAATTCAGTTGCAGTTACACTGTATCGTACTGAGGGGACTACAAATTGCAGAGCTGGTGGGATAATGTTTATTTAGCTAGTGCCAGCAAGAGAATTATAGATATACACAGTGAAAAAGAAAAGAGACATATTGCTGAATATGTGAAGTCAGGTCCATATTTTTTGAAAAAGTTCCTGTAGTTACTTGGTACATATATTCAATAATCACATGTGCCTTAGTCACTTTCCCATAGCTGGGACAAAATACCCAATACCTGCAATTTAAAGGAGAGGTTTATTTTGGTTCACAGTTTCAGTCCATGGCTGGCTGGCTCCAAGGCAGAAATGACATGGTGGAAGGGCTTGGTGGAGGACAGAGGCATGGTGGGAAGGCATGGTGGAGGACAGCTGCTCAACCCAGGGCAGCCAGGAAGAAGAGAAAATTGAGAGGAACCAGGTACAGGAATACACCCTTCCAGGTCATGCCTCAAGTGACCCACTGAACAGCACATTTAGCTAAACCCACCCTTGGATGGATCCGCTGATGTGTACAGCACCAGGATCCAATCACCTTCCAACCACATGAGGCTTTGGAGGACATTACAGATCTAAACCATAACAATACGCTCAGTACCTCATAAATAATTAACCCACCCTAAACAAATCCATATGAGTACACACTTCATTCAAAAATGAGATGAAGAAACCAGTTTACATTGTATGATGAGCGGCTTTAAACATATACTTTGAGAGTCTTGCACTGGTCTTCCTATTATTTTAAAGATCATCCCTCAGTATCACAGGTCTTTTATAAACAAGCTCTACAAGTCTTCTTAAAATAAAAATTGTGAAGAAGGAAGTCTAAATGTACACTGAAAGGTAAGGATGTGAATCACTTTATAGACTAATCCTAACAAGTGTCCCTGAAAATTTGCCTGGAAGGTGGGAGTCTCAGGTCACAAAACAATGTTTAATGAAAAGAATCTGGGTAATAAATAATGCCTAAGATAATAGAAACCTTTATAATTATATTTCTCTATAATATATAAAAATTGATGTAAACAAAGTAATTAAAGTGATTTATTTGTTTATTGGGGTGCTGAGGATTGGACCAAGGAATTTGCTTAGTATGTGCTCTACCACTGAGCTAAATCACAGACCTTTTCATTTTTTATTTTTTCCAGGACTGGGTATTGAACCCAAGGCCTCAACTGAGCTATATCCCTGGCCCTTTTTTATTTTTTTTATTTTTTTATTTTGAGACAGAATTTTGCTAAGTCACTAAGTTGCTCAGCCTTGGCTCAAAATTGTGATCCTCTTGCCTTGGCCCAGAGTGCTGCAATTATGGGGTTATTCCACCATAGCCCACCAAGGGCTCACCCTTGACCCTTATGATGATTTTTTTGTTTTTGTGTTTGTTTTGAGGCAGCTCTCACTATGTAGTTCAGACTGGCCTTGAATTCACTATGTGGCCCAGACTGGCCTCGAACATGTGGGAATCCTCCTGCCTCAGCCTCCCGAGTGCTGGGATTATAGTTGTACACCACCACGCCTTGCCATAATGATGATTTTCATATGTAGTTTTTCAATGGCATGAATAATGGTTTTAAAAGCCCAACAATTTTTTCACCAGAGTGTACAACAGAAAAAATTTACAGCTTTCTTCAATTAATTAGACTTTTTTTTAGTGGATTTACAAGTCTTGATAAAAGAACAAACCGATATGAACAAGGAAAAGATGGAAGCTGGTCATGGTGGCACACGACTGTAATCCCAACATTCAGGAGGTTGAGGCAGGAGAAAAGATCGAGGTCAGCCTAAGCTACATACTGAGTTCAAGGCCAGCCTGAACTGCACAGCGAGACCCCGTCTCAAAAAACCAGCCAGGGATTTAGCTCAGTGGTTCCACCGCTTGCCTCGTAAGCACCAAGTCCCGATTTTGATCCCCGGTACCAAATAAATGAATAAAGTGAGATGTAAATGGTAATAGGGAGTGTAGCTACTAAAACCAACAGGCTAACAGACTGAAAAATATAATCACAGCCTTTTCTGACACTGAGTCGTCACCTCTGCTCTGAGTTTTCTCTCCCCAGATTTTGCGAGCGCTGAGTCCTACCCAGACTCTACCAACTTCTTGGCCTTTTCCATCCCACTTCCTGTTGGGTCTCAAATCCGTGAGTCCGACCCATGGGCAGCCTGAGCCTCAGCCGCTCACATCCTCCCCAGGAGATACCCACCGTCTTCACCGAGTCAGTCAGAGCTTCCCACTGAAGGAACGGCACCGATATCTGGCTCCTTCGCCAGTGGTCATAGCGGGCGCGGCTCTCTTTACTGGTCAGAGTCTCCTTTGCCTTCTGCAGTTTCTGAAAAGTCTCCACTGGAAAACAAGTCATGACATGAGCACCTCTCTGCTGCAGGGTTATTCTAAACTCCAAAACCATCAAACAGATCTCCGTAGAACCATGACCCTGCCATTTGCCAGCTACGCGAACTCGGGCCGGTTTACCCAGCTGAGCTTTAGTTTCCTCGTGTGCAAAGTGTGTCTCGGCGACAAGGGCCTGACCCAAGTTCATCGGCTCCCGTACTTGGCCATGGTGATGGGCCAGGCGCTGTTTGAGGTGCTGAGGATATAGAGGCAAAAGACAGACACTATTAGCGGGAGAGACGGAAATTTACAAACACTGGGAAACACATTTTTGTCTACCAGGAAGAAAACTACCTTTTCTACTGCTAGTTATGAGGCAGGGTAGTGACCAAGCAAGGGACACGATATAAGCAAAGACTCTAAGGCAGGAAGAAGCAGAGTGATTGAGAAGAGGGTGAAACAGAGGAGGCTGGAGGACACTGGGCGGGGAAGAAGGGTGAGGGATGGGGCTGCACATGGACAAGGTCCCAGTCGTCCAGAGTCTTCAAGGTCAAGGTGAGAACTCCAGTCTTTTTTTTGTCATTAGAGGCATGGGAAACTTTGGGTACATTAAATAACATTGTAGGCTCTCATAAGTGGCAGCATGGTCACTGATCTGTCTGCTCAGGTTACATGGAATGGAAGCCTCTCCTGGCCCTATTGCAAACACTTCCCCAGTCTCTTCTGCACCCCAGGGAAGTCAGACTTCCTGTACAGCAGGACACAAGCTCAACATGTAAAAAGCAATTGTGTATCTGCACATGAGAAATAAACAATCTGAGACTGAAATGAAGGACACAATTCTGTTCTATAACAACATCCAAGGACCGGGGATTTGGCTCAGTGGTTCCACTGCCTGCCTCGCAAGCACAAGGTCCCGAGTTCAATCCCCGGTACTCCTCCCCCCCAAAAAAGATAACACAACATCCAAAAGAATAAAATACTTAGGAAAAAATTTTTAACAAAAGAAGTGCAAGACATACACTGAAAACTACACTATATTTTGAAAGAAATTTAAAAAACAAAAAAATGGACAATATATCATGTCCCTATATTAGAAGACTCAGTATTGTTAAAATGGTGATACTCCCCAAACTGATCTGCAGAAGCTTGATCAAAATCCCAGCTGTTTTTTGTGCAGAAATTGACAAACTGGTTCTAAAATCCTAAAATATGTGAATGAAGGGAGCCCAGAATACCCAAAACAATCTTGAAAAATTGAACAAAATTGGAGTACTTATACTTCTTAGCCAATAAGTACACGAAAACATGCTCAACATCATTAGAGAAACATAAATCATTCTGTAGTAATAAAAAGAGATAATAACAAGTACTAATTAGGATGTGGAAACAATTGGACAAGAGAAAGAAATAAAAGGAATAAAGACAGGAAAGGAAGAAGTTAAACTGTCATTATTGGCTGATGATATGATACTCTACATAGCAGACCCAAAATACTCCTCCAAAAGACTTCTACACTTAATTAACAGATTCAGTAGAATAGCTGGATACAACGTCAACACTCAAAAATCAATATCTTTCTTGTACACAAATAACAGACCCACTGAGAGAGAAATTAGGAAAACAATTCCTTTTATAATAGCATCCAAAAAAAATGAAATATCTAGGAATCAATCTAATGAAGGAAGCAAAAGACCTCTACATTGAGAACGACATCACTCTGAAAAAAGAGATCGAAGAGGATATAAGAAAATGGAAAGACATCCCGTTCCTGGGTAGGAAGTACCAATAAAGTGAAAATGGCCATACTTCCAAAACTGCTATACAGATTCAATGCAATCCCGATTGAAATCCCAACAGCATATTTCACAGAACTAAGGAAAACAATCCAAAAGTTCATCTGGAACCAGAAGAGACCTAGAATAGCAAAAGCAATTCTAGGTAACAGAGACACGGCAGAGGGTATCACAATTCCTAACTTGAAACTGTACTACAAAGCCACTGTGATAAAAACAGCATGGCAAAGAAACAGACCCAAGGATCAGTGGGATAGATTAGAAGATGCAGAAACAACTCCAGACATACTCAGCTACCTCATCTTTGACAAAGGAGCCAATCATCCTCACTAAAGGAAAGATAGCCTCTTTAATAAATGGTGTTGGAAAAACTGGAATTTATCTTGCCAAAGATTAAAACTAGACCCCTATCTTTCACTATGCACTAAACTAAAATTGAAGTGGATTAAAGATACAAATATTAAAACAGAAACACTAAATTTGCTGGAAGCTAGGTAGAACTCTCAAAGACATTGGCCTAGGTAAAGACTTTATGAACAAATCCTCAGTAGCATGGGAACTAGCACAAAGAATCAACAACTGGGATCTCATCTTATTAAAAAGCTTCTGCACTGCAAGAGAAACCACCAACAGAGCTAACAGACAACCTACAATGTGGGAAAAAAATTTTTACCAGCTGTTCCTCAGACAAAGGACTACTATCTAGAATCTATAAAGAACTTCAAAAAATCAGACCTCCCAAATTTAAAGACCCAATCCAAAAATGGGCATCTGAAATGAACAGACATTTCTCAGACAAAGAAGTAGAAATAGCTAATAAAGGGCTGGGGATTTAGCTCAGTAGTTCTGCTGCCTGCCTTGCCAGCACAAGGACCCAAGTTCGATCCCTGGTACCAAAAAGAAAAAAAAAGAAATACCTAATAAACATATGAAAAAGTGCTCAATATCACTGGTCATTCGAGAGATGGAAATGAAAACAATGCTGAGATTCCACCTTGCCCCAAAAAGAATGGCTGCTATCAAGAAATCAACCAATAACAAATGCTGCCAGGGTTGTGGGGAGAAAGGAACCCTTCTCCATTGTTGGTGGGAGTGCAGACTGGTGCAACCACTGTGGAAATCAATATGGATACACCTCAGAAAACTAGGATTAGGGGCCAGTGATTTAGCTCAGTGGTTCCACTGCCTGCCTCGCAAGCGCAAGGACCTGAGTTTGATCCCCAGTACCAAAAAAAAGAAAACTAGGATTAGAGGTTCCATTTGACCCAGCTATTCTTCTGCTGGGGTATCTTCCCAAAAGAATTAAAAGAATCATACCGCAGTGATATATGCACACCCATGTTCATAGCGGCACAGTTTGTAATAGCTAAAACTTGGAAACAGCCCAATTGCCCATCAAATGGAGATTGGATAAAGATGTGGTTTTTTTATAAAATGGAATACTACTCAGCCATAAAAAACAAGAAACTAGAGACATTTATAGTTAAATGGATGCACATTGAGGCCATACTCTTAAGTGAAATAAGTAGGACATGGAAAAGTTAGAACCCTCCTGTATGACAGACTGAAATTTAAAATGGTATAGCCAGTTTGAAAAACACTTTAGCAGTTTCTCAAAATGTTAAACAGAGTTACCATATGACCAAACAGCTTTAAGGTATTTATGATGAGAACTGAAAACATTTGTCACAAAAACACTTGTATATGAGAGCAGCATTCTTTTTTGGGGGGTTACCGATGATCAAACTCGGGACCTTGCACTTGCAAGGCAGGTGGCAGAACCACTGAGCTAAATCCCCAGCCCAGCATTCTTCATAATAGTCAAAAGTTGGGAACAACCCAAATGTCCATCAAGTGATAAATGGATAAACAAAGTGTGGTATATCCATGCAAAAGAGGTATCATTGGGTTTTACGAAAGAATGAAATATTGATATATGCTACAACATGAATGAGTTCTGAAAACATTACATTAAATGAAAAAGCCCAGTCACAAAAGGCTACATGCTGTATGATTCCACTTGTTTGAAATATTTAAAATAGGCAAATGTATAGCAACAGAAAGAGGATTAGTTGTTGCCAGAGGCTGGGCAGGCAGGAATGAGAAATGACTGCTAATAAATTGGAGGTTTCTTGTAGTGATGAAATGTTCTGAAATTAGCAAAGTGATGGTTGCACAATATTGTGAATATTCTAATATTTAATATGCTTTACATGATGAGTTTTATAGTATATGAATTATGTTTCAATAAGGTGTTTTTTAAAACTGTCTCTAGGCTCCTAGGGCCAAGAAGTGAGCCTGTCCCAACACCCGGAAGGAAGCTCCCCCACTGCCATCCCAGGCTCCTAGGGAAGTGAAGCTCAGCCAGTCCCAGCACCTGGAA